TTTCGTCGTCCCGCGCGTTCGTCTCCCGCGTGTCTGCTCACGTAGCGCAGCTCCACCCCCAGGCCCAGTGCTCGGACAGCTGAGGGCACATGATAGACATGATGTGACCACCTTGGGCCTGGAGTGGCCGGGCCTGGGGATTCGCGTCTGAACTGTCAGCCCTGTATTTCCCTCCGAACTTGAAGCTGTAGCACCTGCCCTGGGCAGCTGCAGTCTTCTTGCCCCCGGAGGAAAGAACCTGTTAGATAATGGAGTCCACATAGAAAAGCAGAACTGAAGAATAGTGTGTTAGTTTCTGTGGTTGTGTAGCAAATTACACAAATTTTGTGGCTTAAAAACGACTAAATTTATCTGCCTACAGCTCGGCGACAGAAATCTGACATCAGATATCACAGCTGAAATCAAGATGTTGGTGGGGCTGAGCTCCCTCTGGTGGCTCTAAGGGAGTCTATCTCCTTGCTTTTCCAGCATCTATAGCTGCATCCTTGTATTCGCTTATGGTCCTTTTCCCATCTTCAAAGGACTGGTAACCTCGTATGTTTCTCTTATCAATTTAACATCTTTTTGTTTCTTAGAGGCAGAGTCTTGCTGTGTTGCCAGGCTGGTCTCAAACTCCTGCCTCATGCAGTCTCCCACCTCAGCCTCCGGAGTGACTGGGATTACAGACTTGAGCACAGCATGGCCACCTCCTAAATTGACATCTTTAACATATGTCATTTTACCAAATTGCATGAGAGCCATGATTTGCGTTAAAATTTTTTCCTTAACAGCATCTCAGTGGCTTGACATGACAGGTTTATTTCTATTTACTTATTTATTTTTGAGACAGAGTCTCACTCTGTTGCCCAGGCTAGAGTGCCGTGGTGTCAGCCTAGCTCACAGCAACCTCAACTCCTGGGCTCAAGTGATCCTTCTGCCTCGGCCTCCAAAGTAGCTGGGACTACAGGCATGTGCCACCATGCCAGCTAATTGTTTCTGTATATTTTTAGTTGTCCAGCTAATTTCTTTCTATTTTTAATAGAGATGGGGTCTTGCTCTTGCTTGGGCTGGTCTCGAACTCCTGAGCTCAAACGATTGGCCCGCTCGGCCTCCCAGAGCTCGCGACAGGTTTATTTTTTGCTCATGTCACAGACTGAAGTGGGTCAAGTGGCCTCCTGGAAGGCTGTTCCCAAACTATAACTCAGGACCTAGACTCCTTTTATCTTGCGTCTCCCATTTTTATGGCCTCCTGGAATCTTCTGCTGAATCTTCTCTTCAGTTTGCTGATCGGTGAGAAAGTGGTATATGACGAATAAAGTCTATCACTTCTGTCCACATTCCATTAGCCAGAAGCCAGTCCAAGGTCCAATGTAACTTCAAAAGTAAGAGGAAAATGCAGGTTCCCTATCACATAACAGAACACTGTGCTAGCCTGGAGTGCTCACCAAAATTGTTACAAAGTAGACTAGGCAGGTAACAAGATAACTACTGGGGAGGAGGAGTGCCAGCACTTTCCTGGTGCCTCAGCACTTCTTGCCATGAAACGGTGCTCAAAGTGCCCTGACTGCTTTAGAACTGCTTTGTTGTCCTATACTGCCCTTTAGCTAATTATAATACTAAAATCCCACCTAGTGAAATATTGTAATATCTTTAACATAACATGGGTTGCATGACGGCTATCATGATGGTACTGCATGATTTCTTTCACTGGAACAAGCAAAGATACCTTGTAAAAACTTTGCACTACTCACTGGGAAGAGATTTATTTATTTATTTTTATTTTTATTTATTTATTTATTTTGAGACAGAGTCTCGCTTTGTTGCCTAGCTAGAGTGAGTGCGTGGCGTCACCTAGCTCACAGCCTCCAACTCCTGGGCTCAAGCAATCCTTCTGCCTCAGCCTCCTGATTACTGGATTACAGCATGCACCACCATGCCGGCTAATTTTTTCCATATATATTAGTTGTCAATTATTTATTTCTATTTATAGTAGAGACAGGGTCTCGCTCTTGCTCAGGCTGGTTT